GATTGAGATTTTTTTGGCATTCTCATTTCAAAACTGACCTCACTTCAGCGACAGATATACGGCAACAGGACATATTAAGATAAATCATGCATATGTAGAGCTTGAATTTTCTGACAATTTTATATTTTGGGGTGTTTGTGCTTGATTACAGTACTGGCAAAAAAAAAAAAAATCAATTAGCACAACACAGCTACATGTTTCTTGCTTTCGAAAACGAATACGCTGAATTGGCTGGAAACATAAGCAACCTAGAAGATATTTATCAGATACGATGCCAGATCGGCATGGCTATCCTGATTCTTATTCTGGACTTGCTGAGGGACCTCCACAGTACCTTCTCCTAAGGATTCTTTAATATCTCTTTTCCCTTCTGCAAATCTATTAATAGAAAGTAAATCAGATAAATTCTTATCACCAATCACAATCGGTTACTATTTGAAAAGTTTTAGCTGCCCTTTAAGAAATTCGGGGAAGTGACTTTCGGGTTGTTTTCACTTCATCACCATGAGTATTCAACATTGTCTCATCTTTTCAGAGCATACATGTGAGAAAAACCAACCCTAAAACAAACCTACCTGTATAGAATACATGATGATTTTGAAGCACGAAACGGCAAATTCATTGGGATCCCATAGTCTATGGTGGTCTAAATGTCTGTAACCAAAAATGAAGATATTTAAACCAATGACATTCAAGAGAGGCAATAAACGACACCTTAAACGTTCCTCAAAATCTACCTCAAAAGGATTATTTCCACACTTTCAATTCTAGAAGTACTTGCAGCTGTATCTTCTAGCTTCCAACCTAGCTTATTAACTAGGTGAGAAAATTAACACTTCAGAAAAGTGTTTTGTTTTCAAGATTTAGTACGTGATTACAAAATATTTGGCAGTAATAGACATTCCCTTAACCAAATTTGATATTTTATATTCAGAAGTTTAAGGAATCTATTCATAGCAAAATATATGCAGTTTAGAATATACTGTTCCCAAACAAAGGGTACACATAAACATGGATGGGACATTATATGCTAACTTACATTAAAAAACCCACAGTAGAGTAGATGGTTATTATACCTTAACAACCTTTTCTCTAAATAAGATAAAGAAGCTCTTTTCAATCAGTAGCTACAAAGCAATTCAGGTTGAATACTATGCTTAAAACAGAAACTTGGAGAACTATTTTCATTTTTACAGTGGTTTCATGAAAAACATATGAAAAGAAAAATAAGTTAGAAACTCTGTTGTTAGTAACTCTTTGTTTATACCCTCATATCATTTTGAAGCATTTCACTTACCTTACAAAACTTTCTGCAAGAAATGTCAAAACATGTCAGAACAACAAATATCACAGTTTCTCTTAAAATATACCATCATTGACAGGAACCACTGATTAAAATCTTTATCAGAGTTTCATGCAAAGAGAAGAAATACAGCTTAAGCACCATCCTGAAAGCTATGAGTAGAGCACAGTTCAAATTTTCCAAACTGGAGAACTGAGTATCTGGAAAAGCATGATAAAGATCCGTGCACTTTTAAAAGACTGAAAAAAGTGTAACTTGGGATGCCTGTTACTAAGAATGATTTAGGTAAAAATACATATATATGTCTACATACATATATATTTATTTTTTTCTTACAGAAATTGAATTCAGATAGTTCCTAAATTTGTATCTCAGCTACAGAATAACTTTCCATCTGACCTTCCCCCAGAAACATAGTAAACATCTAAAGACACTTCAGTTTTGATAAGCTTTTTTTTTTTTCTCTCATCTGAAAGTAGATGTGTAAAATAAGTTAACACTCAAACAGTCCAATATTGAAAGGGTTCTTTAACTTACTTTGCCTACAATCTATAGAGATCTCAATTAAATTGCTGGCCAGCTGCTACCAGCGTAGTGACCCAGCAGAGTATACAGCTCTCCTTCAAGGTTGATTAAACCAGCTGGCATAAAATTACCCTCTCTTCCCCCCTAAATTATCTTCCAGTTCATGGCAGAACTAAGAAATGATACTGCCATTTTGATATATTGCATTTTCTTAATAGAAATTCTTACATGAGCGAGATTTTCAGGAGCTTTAAAGGTGTAAGTTCATCTGCCAAGAAAATGGTATTAATAAATTTGCATTAATAAACATTAAATTGGACTACCTCTTGGGGACAGCTGCCTTTCTTGTGCACATTCCAAACACGCACGTATGTTGAATCCTGCCTTAGGGCAGAAAGATAAACAAAATTACCTCTTTAAATCCTTCAAGGCTGAGTGGTTGGCGATATAGGTATTTGTTTCTTTTTTCTCCCTGTTATTACTCCAGTACAAATCATAATTTCTTTTACACGATAGCTTATTTTAGTTAACCGATTTTCTTTCTGTCTCATCAGATACAAAACCATACTCTTCACTGTCTTCTCCAGATTGAAGCTGATCTTTTAAATCTTTTAGACTAGCGCGTGTTCTCTGCTCTTCTAGACAGTTCCTCTCATCTGCCCCAAAGATCCACTCAAACAGATTACTGTCAACTACAGTTGAAGCTTTTGAAAGTCCTTTCCTCTCAAAACAAGAGATACAATTTTCTTTCTGCAGAAAAGCAAAGAATTAGCTGCTTCAGAGGTAGCTGAGCTGATGGAAGAACAGCAGGGGAAAGGCGACAGCCCAGGTTAATGTTGTGTGTAATAGCACACTGTGCAACTATATTTATGTAAAATTGTTTCCAGTCCTATGGTTCTTCTAATAGGGGTTATCCACTAATAAAGCTTTTTAACACTGAATTAACAAATGACAAACTCTTAAGTAATATTTTTAGGGATGAAAGTTTCACGTAGCTTTTGGAAGGTGATTACCCTAAGGTATGGTCCAACTTTATGCAGGAAAGGGCATTCGACTAGCCAGCCTCATGAAAAACTTACTTTAAGAAAGAAAGAGTCTCACTCAGTTGAGATTCACGTGTGGGCTGCGCTTCTGCCTGAGGCTGCTGTAGCCTGTAAACCCCTTAGGGTGTTCTGTTCAACACAGCAATATGCCTCCACTTCACAGCCTGGAGGTGCTTAAGAATAGTCTCTTCAAGGCCACGTCAGCACTTCCAGCTGCCTCTGTTCCATGGACAGCCATTCCAGGCTCCACAGATTAGGCACAGAAAACATCCGTTCCAACGTTAGATCAAGTTTACTCTTTTCCACTCCAATTTCAGATCTCGTCTGTTAAAGAGAAGATTTCCAAAAATCCTCACCTGGGTGAGGTGTTCTCAAATGAGGCAGGGGCTCGAGGCTTGAACGCAGTCAGTGTAGGTCTCAGTGCTTCAGCCATAAACTGCCAATTATCAGAGTTTTTTTTTCATTTACCATGTTAACAATCAAAACATTCCTATTACTCAGTTTTTATTTACTTTAAAAAAGCTTCTTTCCTAGTCCTGGAAAACCTGGGGGTTGGTAGATTGCCTTCCACGCACGCCTCGCGCATACGGAGCAAACGTTGCCCAGTTCGGTTTTTCAGAGTAACCACCGGTGCACGTTACAGTTTTACAGAGTGAGAGCCAGTAATGGTCCCTGAATTCACCTACATTAAATCACAAACACAAGCAACCCTTACGGGGAAAAAAGAGAAATTGGTATCGATGACCAGAAAGCAGAAACGGGGCTTGTTCAGAAAGGCAAAACACCACATTACTAAATAGTGTTTTCTCTGTGGACCAGCCCTCCTGACGCGCTGAAAAAGGCTTCATTACATACGAGCAAGACTAACAAACAGCTGTTGTGCCATACAGCTTTGAGGTTAAACTAAAGCTTCTATATTAAATCCTGACTGCAGTGCAGATTTATTAAAAAGAAAAAAAAAAGGTAGAAAACATTCACGCTTCACGGATCCATAAGCAAATTGCAGGGGTTTGCAACAGCGAAACACAGCTCATTAAGTATTACAATTCCTGTGATGAAACGCAGCACAGTCATCCAAAATACACCTGAGGTAACTATGACACTAGGGGGCCGAAGAGAGTGCAGCTGGTGGGTGCTGAGCGTGGGCATGGTACAACAGGACATTCCTCCACACACAATAAGGGCTGGCTGGCTTTGGTGATAAAAGTGCTCACAACCACTTAGAATAGTTGCATGCAATCTCAAAGGACAAGGAAAGTGCCTGGGGTGGGGGGAGGAGGAGGAGCAAGGAACCAAACCAAACCCCCAAAAAACTACAATCAAAAAAGCCCCCACATCTGACAAGCAAGCTTGATTTCCACAGGATTCTAGATGAAGCCTCTATAAAAAGCCAGAAGACTGAGGATAAATACAGAATCACTCACATTTGATTTGGTGAGCTGCACAGAAAAGCAACCCCGACCTTTCAAGGGAAACGTGCTCCTTCGAGCCCTTTCGCCACTGTCTTTCACAAACCTGGCTTGCGCCCTCACCCAGTTCCACAGGGTCACAGCAGACAGGAAGACCTCTTGCTCGCTACAGAAGGGATTTTCTTGCAACTTTATTTTACTTTTGAATTGATGTCACAGATGCTCTCCTCCCGCTTTCATTGCCTTGCTTATTAACATAGTTTCTGAAAAATGCTTCCTGCACCTTCACTTCTTCCCAAAGGTGAAGGAATTGCAGACCTTTTGCATGGTTCTGGACAGCCATGCAAGAAATCACCCACCGTTCAACACTACTACTATGTTTACTGCTGCAGGTTCAGAAGCACGGAATCACAGAGAGGCTCATGCCAGCCATGGGCCAACATACACAGAAAAACAGCATCCAGGAAATGTCATTACTCAAGTGGAAAAAGAATTAAATTACTTAAAGAGGTTTTTTCAATTACAAAGTCTCTTTGCATTAAGATAGCAAAGGCTGCCAGCGTACAGTTGGTGTGCAAGTCTACAAATGTGAGGAAACAAATTATTTTCCGTTTGCCTTACTGGAAAATAGGTCATAATATAAGAACAATAACACAGGGTATAGGTCATAATATAAGAACAATAACACAGGGTGCAAGCTTGCATATGAAAGCTTAACATAGTAATAAAAAAAAAATTGTCAATATTTCTTCTACTATTAGCATTCCAAAAAAAAGTAAAGTATTAAATATAAGCATTCTGAAAGCCCAGGTATTAAAATCAAAAGAAAGAAGGTTATCCAAGCAGGTTAAAAATTCTGCAGTGATAGTCAAGTTCCGAACCAGTCTGCGCTTCTCCTTTGGCAATATAACTATAAATGACGTCAAAGTAACATCATGAATAGTCACATGATAAAACAAACAGTTTCTGCAAGATACACATTTATAAGCTTAATTTGAAGCAGTGCATGCTGTTAATTCTTGCAATATTGGTGATACTACCATGAGTCCTATGTAGATTTGTGTTACATTTCTCATTTGTAATCAAAACCACTGGAAAGAATTTGGAATTGAGTCTAAAAATGAATCTTATTTAACAGCAGAACTATTGGAGAGTACTGAAAAAAAAGTTAACGCATTCAAAGTTTAACTAAATAAAAGTGAATCAGAGTCAAAGCTGTTTGACTATGTAAAGATAAAGCAAAGTTACAGGAACATACTGTCCTCTAGAGTAAAGAGGGTGTTTACAGAACACATTGTCTTTGCAGAAGACAATGGAAATATGGCAAAACGAATGTAGTTGCTTATATTCAGTAGATTTCTTTACCCCTCAGTATACACCAAATTCACCGCACCACTGCAAATTCATGCTAAAATTCTGCTAAATCTAAATAACTTGTGACTGTTGATACACAATAAACAATCTTTTCAAGCCATATGAATATAAAACTTTGACTTTCATTAAGCAGTTTGCCAGACTGATCTGTCAGATATCATTAAAAATGAGAATTTCAGAGTTTCTAGCCACTAGAGACACTCATAACCATGGAGATTTTCTGCTATACGCAAGGAGAATTAAGGTCAACTCAAAGCCCTACCAGGTGACTAACTACAGATTTGAACTCCATTTGTTATGCTTAAATCCTTCAATCTTTAAATCTGTTCAGCTTCACGATGTAAGAAGCACTATTCTCTCAGTTTTGTGAATGAGAAAATAAAAACATGGTGACTGATACTTCAATGTCATTTGAAGCATACCCTTCAAGCAGGAAATCGATCCTCCATTTTCAGTGTCATGATAACTGGCTCTATCTTTCTTTCTAGAGCTTTTAAAAAAAGATTTTGAACCAGAGAAAATGTTAGGAGCAACTGCTTTCTAATCAAGGATACATAACTGAAGTCTTTTTTTTTTTTTTGTAAAATAAAAGAAAAAAAATGCAACAACTGTATTATCTCAAACTTTCTTTTTACCAGTTATGCTCATTCAGAAAGTGAATCTGATTAGACATAGTTCTTCCTCTTTGTTTAGGAGGAACAGCTTGAAATTTTCATTTTCTACATCTCTTGTTCTTCAGAAATATGAAATCTTGATAGTAGTAATTTATGAAAAAATATATTGTCCTTCCTCTTGAAACGGAACACAAAATAGTGACTATAAAGACATACAACCCAAAAGGAAAAGAAATAAAATCAAAAATCATCACCACCACCAAAAGCCACTGATGTACCCGTCTTCATTCAGAAAATTCCCAAAAGAAAACCTCCAATAACTCATCATTATCTACTGATTTCCGTGTACCAATGCAGCATGTAGGTCGAAAGGTGCACAAAATGACTCAAACAGGTCCTTAGAATCACGCATAGTAGGACAAGGAATTATGCTAGAAATAAGGTTCTGAATCTATAAAGCTTTGGATCTGTGCCACGAAATGCAGCTGTAACACCTTCTCAAATTCAAAACAAAGTACAAACTCTCTACTCTTAGAGATCAGGAATTAATTGTGGAAAATTTCCTGATACTGAAATGATTCAAAGAACTGAAGTAACTGCACATCCTGACAAATCAGGATTTGTCAGGATGTGCAGTTCAGGATGCTTAGGGATCGGCCCCTAAAATAAACTTACAGGAGTTAAGAAAACAACTGCAATATAGTTCAAAATAGTCCATCCAGACAATGTTTAGCATCCAAAGGTTCACTAATAATGACAAGCATTTTAGAAGAATGGAAATTAAATTCCAAATGTGAGGACAGATGCAAATTCTTAATAAGAAGTAGAACATACAACTCTGCAACGCTTAATCTCTATCAGACTGCCATGATAGGTGCACATGGGAAAAAGACAATAGCATGGGCCTTCGTATTTGATCCTTTGTGCTCTTTATACAAATCTTTGCTTTTGACGGGGAAAAAAAAAAAAAAAAATCAAGGGGCTACAGGATATTTTCCACCCTTAATAAGTAAAAGGTTTTCCCCAGCTTCTGTTTGCATAGGTTGGACTAGGTGATCTCCAGAGGTCCCTTCCAACCTAAACCATTCTGTGATTCTGTGATTTGTGTTTTTGCTTAAGAGTACTAACTTGAAAAAGGCTTTTAGTATATTCAAAGTCTGTCATTGTATGAATGGAACTCTCAGTCTTCGTGGAAAGAACTAGACCATCTTAAAAGCAAGTATTTCCATAACAGGTGAGTATCGTGAAAATTCAGAACTGGGAGCAAGCAGCTCTCCTCATCACTAGTAAAAGACATGGTTTAAAACTAGTACCTTTTTGTTTAGAACTTCCTACACAGACCTTTTTTTTTTCCTGAGAACGTGGGCACTCTGAAGATACCAGCAAAGGTGAAAGAAGCAGATTCAAGTGATCTTAATACTTAATGCTCATACGTTTTATTTATTTAGGAAACAACAGGGATAATATCAAGAAGAAACCAGAAAAATGCTGGACATGACAGCTAATGTAACAGCAGTAATGTTTACAGCGTGCATCTGTGCATAATGCGCATACTGTGTGCACATCTGCCGTTCACTAAATGAGCTCCCAAAGATATTTTTTATAGAGCATCGAAATGAGTCTTTGAAGACAACTGCAAGGAAAGTAAAAGTCTTAACTTTTTTTTTTTTATTAATTTAGGCACGGTACTCCTTTGTGCTACTTAGGTTTTACTTGGCTTGTCTGTTTGCTAACTGAAATAGCCATCTATGGGATGTCAACACCTCAGACAAGCAGTTTTACATTCAAAAGAAAGGTCAGCTGAGGAACCCAGATAAATCATTATACTGCATTTCTATAATCAGTTAAGTGGGACACATACTCCTCTATCTTAAAGTTAACAAAATAGTCAAGATAAAGGTGAGATTAAGCAATGGGGCACTTTTGAAGAGGTAAGAATAACTATGTCAGTAGAATCTGATAGGCTGAAAAAGAGGAATCAATGAAGGATTTTAACAACATGATCAGAGAGGATGAAATAAAAAAAAATGTTAGGGTAAGACCTTGCATAAATTTCACACTTACGCAAAAACTGGTCTGACAGCATTATTCATATTTCCATAGGTTGCACGCCCTAATAGCTCTCTGAAACAATTCTCGGCCAGCACAGCAGGATTTTCCTCTTTCTCTCCTCCTGTAGGAGACGATGGAGGGCCTATCCTACTGAAATAAGACAAAAATACATTGCAGTTATTACTGATTCATATTCATCTTACAGTATGTGCTCTCAGTTCTACAGCATTCACGAGTCAGACTGTTGATCTAGGCAAGAATCCTATAAAAAACTATGCATCAAAACACAACTCTGAATAAAACATTATTTTATAGCAGGACTACAGATCACATTTATTCAGTACTGAGCACTGCATTACCAAATACTGACATGGCTAAAACAATGGACAGTAACACTGATTTGACTTGTTACCTACTGCATTTTAACAAACTATTATGTATTATTAGCAATGAATAAAGGCCATGAAACCATGCAAAAATCTTAGGCAGACTCTCAGTCATTTTGTTCTGACTAATGATCTTATTCACCTGCCCACAACTGAATACCTACTATGTGGGCGAGTGTAAAATAAAACTCCAGTTCTTCTGCAGTAACAGATGGTTTGAGTTAAAACAAAAAAACACAAAAATCACACTGATTTAAGTAATTAGAACATTGTCACCCACTTAGCTACCTCAAAACTGGACACTGTAGAACTGAGTCAACTTTAACCGATCGTCCCTTAACAGTATACTACTATCTGACAGGACTTAAACGATCAGTATAATATTTATTATAGTGTCCGCATCAGTACATACAGATCTGTAATATTTCACTATACTAAAACACATTGCCTTGCCAAGCTGCTTTTTGCTTGCCATGTGCTCTTCCTCACCTTTATGATAGTGCAGGGCAAACGGAACCCTGTATTTATCATATGGTACGTTCTTAGACGCTTCAGAAAAGAAAAAAAAACACGAATCATCTTTCACATGTGTTAATATTACATTCTTCAGACCATATACAAATGGATACTAATTTTAATTTCTCTACAGTATATTTCTGAAGGTGGCCCGTGCTGAACGACCATTATCTTTCCCCTAAAAACAGGGAATGTGAAAAAACAACACAGCAACTGATTTCTTTGGTCAGAAAGTACATAATAAGATACGAATGTAGACTGTCAAACTTTGCATCAAATAAATACATGTTGAAGGGTGTTAATCTACCTAAGTTTTTCAGAGAAATCTGTCCTTTAACAAAAAGATTACAGTTATTTCAATCTTAGAAATATAATATTAATAGTAAGGAACAATAAAACATGATCATATGCTGGGTGGGAGAGGGGAAAAAAATAACAGAAAGGGAAGGGAAACGTTTATTACTACTGCTACTACTTCCTTAGCCACTAAAATTACACCAGTGATAATGTCTTAACTCCAAATAAAACATTTTTTAAATTTATTAAAGAAGGAATTAAAAATCAGCATTTAAATAGCGACACTGTTTCAGATAGAAATTTTAATTTATGACCTAATAAATGCTACAGTGCAAAGCAAGGTTTTAATGTTTTACGTTAACGACAGTAGCAGTGACCAAATTTAGGGGAAGTTCAAATGCAGTCATTTGCTATTATCTCCTTTCTCCTGGTGATCGGGAATTAGGTTGAATATTTAAAGTCTATTTGGTGCAACGAGAACATAAGAGTACTGAAGTAAAGATTGACTGCATACCTATGCGAAATAAAACTACAGAAACCACTCTGTTTGGGGTAAACCAAAATGAAGAAACACCCAAATTCTACAAGTGGGTTTTGAAGGGGACAGCCTGTCTTCATGTTACAAGTAAAAATCAGCACTTGCACTGCAAACAGTGAAAGGTAGAGTCACTCCAGAAGAACCAGTTTCCCACTGCTTTTCATTTTTGAGGAAGGCATTGGTATTGTTTCCCCCCCCCTCACTTACTCTGCCCAACGTCACCCCCTTTCCAGCCTCAGGAGACCTGAATACTTCAGTAAAATAAACGAATCCGAGGCGTATTTCTGAATTCAAGTGCTTCACACATTATACCTTAAGTGGACACCAATGTTCCATTTAAACTGAGCAGTTGAAAAGGGAGAGAATGAGGAAGAAAAAAATGAAAACAGCACCCCAGAGATGCAATACTACTTCTCAAGTAGCACTGTACCTATAAATCGCAAGAATATTTTTGCGTAAAACACAAGATAGAAACTTAAGCGAGGATTCATTCACCTCCATTAAAATTGTGTATCTACACTTTAGGAGATTTATTTCAGACTGCAGGAATCTACACTAAAACCCCAAACTCGTTCAGTTCTGCAGTGCAAGCTTGTGTGTTAAATATATTTAAAAGAATGTTCACTGCAAGTGTCAGCTGTAGTTAACGTTCACTCTCCAGCATCACAAAATCACAGCTTTAGAGAATTATAAAAAGTCTAATACTGAAATATCACTAGCCAAATGAAGATGTAACTTCATAGTTGTAAAGGTTTTCAAATAGCAAAGGATCTTCTAGTATTTCAACACTACTGCAATCTAAAAATTGCAATGTAAAAATCTTAGTGAGCCCGGTTATCTTATTTATTCATTTATTTTAAAGAAGTTACAATAGTAATGCTAGCTTGTCAGATTTTTAGTAATAAAAAAGCCCCAGGCACCCTGTTTAGATAAGTAAGGAGAAAGTTTTACACGTGCATATTGATTAGAAAGTTAAAGGAGCGACGTGCTGTATATCATCCTCCCCCTTTCTCCCCCTTGTATTGCCTAGACTGTGTTCTAGACATATGGACACCCTTTTCAGAATACGGAAGGTACGAGTGGCAGTGCAGGACTAACTGCTATTCCCATTACTGTTTTCACATAGATTCCTTAGGAGCCTAACAAAAGGAAAGAAAGACAGCAGGCTGCACAACACACACAGAGTTGGCCTATCGGGAAGAATCCTAATTAAAACACAGTAAGAATGAGTTATTTTCTGAGCACTTGTATATGCAATCCCACAGCAGGTTACTTCCCAGAACTGCTTGGGGTCCTGCTTTAGAATGGAGCTGCAAGAAGAAACCATCTGAAGCAGAAGTCTTCAGGACAATAAGCATCAGAACGTACGAGGTTATCTCCCACTGTCTCTAGGGATTACATTTTTGTTTTGAACTTTTGCACCAGCTACCTATAAATATTTCTCACTGATGAGTGTTCCTTAGCATTATCAGATACAAGACAATGAATATAAAGTCACTATTTTAACTTCTTAGTTAAAAAAAAAAAAGTTTTACACAGCCTCTCAGGTTTCTAAAATCAAATAAGCAATTCATGCTCATTTTGTTTTGCTGATAAATGTGTTAAGGCTCCAGATTTTCAGACCATCATCAGAAAACCTCTGACAAATGCAACAGCAATTACCATCCCTTTGTGTTGGGGCTTTCACTACCACCACAGGTTCACAGTGAACCAGAAAATGCATTTTTCAATAAAAATAAGGAATCCTTGTGCATTTCATCTGTTCTACCAGCTTTCTAGTGGGTAATCTCCATCAGAAAAGGTGGCAACAAGGAACCGTGAACAGCAGCATTTTAAAGTACAGCAGTTTCCATAGCAAATACCTAACCACAATATAAAATTGGTTCAGAGCAACTCAACAGGCACAGCTGTGACTTCTCTAACAACACACACCAAAACAACCACACAAAAATTGGCCAACTAATCTGATGAGACATGTTAAGTAAGACTTAACTGCTACTGTTGAGTGCAGTAACTACAAAAATGTTTGACTGTGAGTCACAGTTACTGTTCAATCACCCTGCAAAAGAAATATATTCTAAACTATTTCCAAAACAGAATTTATATCAATATTACAGACATATTAAAAGGATTTAAACTGAAGTCTAACACATGCTAGAGTCTCCTGACTTAAATAAGGCTGTCATTTTCAACCTTACAGATATCCTGAAGAATGTTACAAACCCGTAAGTTAAAACATTTTCAATTTCCAATTTAATACATCTTCTGGTTAACATGTCCCCTTCCCCATATGTACGTAAATGGCATATATAACTCACTCTTTGGAATTTTCTTCTAGAAGACATAAGGGGGAAGAAGAGTCACCAAGGGTAAATGCAATACCTTATACCAAAACGAAGTACAGATGACAATTATTTTGTATTTCGGAATCGTACTGAAGTACAACTAATCAAGACATCTGTTTGACTTTTAGAATAGGTTATATATTACACTTGCAAATATTTCATAGTCACCTAAATAGAACATGCATGCAGACCTAGGCACAAATATTACAGAACTCTAAAATAAAGGGGTTTTTTTAGATATTCAGTTCTTAATCCAAGAAGCGTCTAACCTGACATACGTACTCAGAAGAACTTTGAATTAAGTTTTGAAGAGTCCACAACTAAAAACTACACTGATCTTTAAAATAAGCTTTACATATGCATACTTCAACATTAACCACAAATGCTTATTTTCCATGGACTTAAGCTGGGATATTTTCTGGAAACTCTCCTCTTTCTCACATAATGCTTTGACTCCATCTGCCAGAAAAATATGTTTCTTACTCCTACTCTTCAAGACGCCTCTGTTTGCTCTCCACAAATATGAAGTCACATGTAAAACAAAATGAGAAACTCTGTAGCATTATTTAAGGCCAGCAGATCAACATTTTATAAATATTGTTTTCAGTTTGTGTTTCACATCAAAGGCCCCTATTTGCCACTTGGAAAAAACACTAGTCATTTCTTCTGTTGAATGCCTACCATAGAAAAGTTTCAAGCAGCCCAGCTCAGATACTTAATTAAGTTGCTTTTTGACAGATTTGTTTTTAATCACTGCTATAGCATTGCTCAACAAATGATAACATGAGTCCTGGAGTACATATAAACTGGACCCCTTTAAGCAGTTGTTCAAAATCCTACTTGAATCTGAGTTTTTCCATAAATACTTAGTAATTCCTTTGATTTTGCTGTAGAGAGGAAAGTAAGTAAAAGCTTGATGGCATTGTACAGACTAATGAGGGAAAGTGACCACTTGCATCTAAGAAGTCCTTAAGAGACAGCACAGGCTAACTAGGCTCTCCACATTTGCAGAGAAGTTTCAGAACCCTGGGCTCTTGTTCGGATCACTCTTCACAGGTAAAATCCAAGTGAACTTATCTGTACGCACTGTGTGGGCCCTGAGTTATACGAAGTAAGTAGATTTAAAAAACTGATTTGCTTTGGAGAAGAATCAAGTACTGGTAGTTAGGAAAGAGGGGACAAAAAAAATGCTGAGGAAAGAAAGAGAGGAGAAGGCTGACAGGTTTAGGAAGCTGAAAGTCATGCGAAAGCACGAAATGCCTGTTGCTATAGGAAGTCTGTTGAGTTTGCTGCCAGGGACATTCTGAAGAGCCTAGGGCTGGACACGAAATAAGTATTTAAGTTTGCTTGCACAGCTAAAATTGGTTTAATATACAGAAGTTTCCCAGTGATAGTAGTAAACACTTTTTATGCTTACACAGTGTTTACACATAAATAAATGGCTCTCATACAGACACGGACAAAAAAGTGACATGTCTGTTGTGAATGGCACATTTTCAACATCATTGTAAAGAAACTGTCAATCTTTATTTTAATTAGCATTGCAGATAGGAGAGAGTTGTTATTAATGACTAAATAGGAAGTAAAACTCCAATTTTAAACAAATAAGATTAGCAAGATTATTTGAATCACCTAAAAACCTGTGCTTGATCATCTCTGCACCTGACACATTGTGAAACAGTTTACAATTTTTAAAAGTTTAAATACCTGTCAATATCTTCTATTTTCTGCATATTAAACAGCAATGATGGAACTATCTTGTCCATGTGCTGAGGTTCCCATATCGTTGCTCGAAGTTCATCATTAACTGTTTTTCGAACCACTCCCTGGATGCCCCTGATCCCAGCAATTCGGATTCTAAGGAAGGAAAAAAAAAAAGGATTATCAAAAGAGAGAAACACAGCATCTTGCGGCACAACAGGCTACCTATTTTCCAGTGTAATCATGGAGCGCAGAATTCCATTAAGTTCTAAAATGCAGTAATTTGGAAAACGGGTACATTTCATTAAGGTTACTTAATATTGCCTTTAAATAGTTTTATAGCTGACAAAGAAGCTGACAAAAGAAAGATAAACTACTAAATAGGAGACAATCTTTAAGAGCAATGCTGACACTGATCAAAGAATGCTCAAACCGCACATACCACCTCCAGCAGAACGTCGCATGGTTAAAAACCAGTTAGCTCTATGTAGTTCACTTACTACCCATTAACTGACATGTGCACAACCTCAACCTACCTCAGTGCAAAAGAAACGCGCAGCTACCACAGCCCAGTTCAAGCTATAGCTATCACAGTCATATGACCATATCCTTAAGAGTTGTAAGTAAGGACGCAGTTTAACCAAAAGAAATCTTTAAAGATTTGTTCGAGATTAACAATTACAAATAAACAAGATGGAAAGTATACAACAAATTAATTCTATCAACTTAAGCCTCTACATAAAAGGAAGCATCTCCTTGATCCTACCGTCATTTGAACAAAATTAACCAAGAACTGATCAACAACAACAAAAGAAAAAATGAACATAAGCTCTAATAAAGATTTAGTCTTAACGATTAGCTATCTTCATTATATTGTTTAAAAAAAAAAAGGGGGGGTTTCAGAAGAAACTGTGCATAAAAGGCTGTAACATAAGCTCTAATAAAGATTTAGTCTATAAATTAGCTATCTTCATTATATTGTTAAAAAAAAAGGGGGGGGTTCAGAAGAAACTGTGCATAAAAGGTTGCACAATAGAAAAGAATAGCAAAATATTCTTTCTTAAAGTGGTAATAGACATTAGTCATTATCATGAACGCTAGGAATAGAATTTACTGAAAACAGGAAAGGTTGCTATAGATATCAAATGAAACAAGCACTGCCAAGCTTCCATAAGATTTGAAATTATTTATATTAAAATTTGAGGGATTTATTTTAAAAGCTTAATTTCATTAGGAATATCACTAGCCTTTGTTCAGTCAAACTCACTTCATTTGCTAGATAAATGATAGAGCCAATTGAACTCTATGATTTATATTTTTGTCAGATTTTAATTTATAGCTTAAACTACATTAAAGCTTAAGCTATTAAGAAAGCTTAAGACTGTAGCTTTCTTTTTCAGCTATTTCTGAAGAAAATCACATGCGTTCAATCAGGATCTGGTATCACGAACTTAGTGCTTCTAGAGCTTTCAAGGCATTTTTAATATAGTTACAAATAGAACAGGGAATGATGGGGATGCACAAACAGCTAGAAGATAGCACTTGCTGTTGCTGTAGTGCAACCACCACGCAGCTATGCTCTTTCAACATTAAGAATCTTTGACTGACACTTAGGGCACAGATCCCAAAATTCCATCATTTAAACTTTTTTCCACAACCCAGTGTTATCACCTACAATTAACTTTGACAAGCATTAAATATTAAAGTTGAAGTAACATTTTTTTCAGGAATGTTTCTTTGCTTTTCAGTTATTTGTTCTTTAGTTAATCAAGTTTTACTACTATAGCAACTCTAGATGTATTCAATTCTGGCACTAACCTCCTCTGCTGGAAGGGGAATCCCACTTATCAGGCGACATTCAGGTTGAGATTCAGAAACCTGTATTACCTGTCTACATGTGTACAAGACATTTAAGCTCCCATTCAAGTCAGCAAGGGCAGTGGAACCTCAAGCTATACAGCTGGACACTGACCACAGATGTCTACTTTAGGATGAGCTGAATTACTCCCTAGGCTCCATCAACCATATTGACTACTTCTGATACCTACACTTAACGTTTTAATCTGGAGCCGTAGCTCACCCACTCTGTTGAATTACCTCAGTGCCTACAGCACACCTGGTATGCCAGCTCCAAGAACAACTGCTTTTCATGCAGGAGATCAATTGTTTCAGAGATCTCTGTAAAAGGAGGTACGTTCAAACTACTTTGGATCATGTGGAAAGGTCACACTGCTATAAGTTTGACTATCCCGAGTAAAAATTTTTAATGCTTCACAAGGCGGGGGGGGAGAAGGCCACCGACACAAATTTTGTGTTCTTACCATTGTACAGGAGGTCAGGGGCAGGGGGAGAAGAGGGTTATGCAGCTGAAGGATTATGCAGCATCAAGTTCCTCCGCAGTTCTACTGTGGTTTCATTCCTCTAAAGGCAGCTCACATAGGTCTCAAAAAGCAGAGACTAAATTTAAATCAAGGTCAGGTATACAGTTTTATGTCATCAGGATGAAATTCCTCCCTTTCTAAGGGTATATCTACATTGCAAATCGAAGGACTCGCACTGCAGCACTGAGAGCGACAGAACCGAGGCAGAGATAACAGTGCAGGCTGACAATCTGAAGAGCGGAAGATTAAAGTAACTCTCTCACTCTAATAAGAATCACAGCTCTGAGGTATATAGCTTCGGGGTTTTCCTTCAGAACGGTCGCTCATACTTGGTCGATCAGACAGGGTAGGTCCATTTGTCTTAATTCGTTCCACGTTTCATTTCATTACTAACTCTCTCTCTCTTCTCTGAGGGGCACTGAAAATTGGAAGAAACGCTAAAATCCTGAGCTGAGTTTCATATCCTAACCTACTATGAAACGTTTCGGGGTAAGCAAGCAGTTTACCATTTCTGTTTTAGCTTCACTAAGCCTAAAAAGACAGCAGTTTTAAGCATCTATATTTCTGGCATTATATAGGAAACGGAGGGGGAGGCGGGGGCAAAGCTATGAGAGAAGCAGAAGGTAATCTTTTTAGAGCTAGAAGTTTACTGCAGAACTCTACATATAGCAATAGCACAGAAACGAAGATGAAGAATTATGAAAAAGAAGGAACCAACCAGCAGACCAAAGGAGAACTGACAATAAGGGGTTTTTTAGTTTTTTGTTGTTGTTTTTTTAACTGAAGTACATAGAACTCTTTCCTTTTGAAAATACAGATCAAGGCCACTCAGCTATTCTTGAAACTGCAAACTTTGAGCAAACTCTCATGTATTGCAGCCAACATAACGACCCGGCACCCAAAGGTCTGTATAAATATTTAAAACTTGGATTTTTCAGAGTTGGCTAAACAATGTAACGTATGGAAGCAGAAGAGAAGAGTACAAGAGAAATGCCAATCACATTTTTTGAAAAGCCTTAAATTGTCTAAAACGCTCAAGTGTTAAATATTAACAGTCCAATATAAAGAACACATCGCTAGGGGGAGCTGCAGTAAAAAAAATGTGGTGCTTACATAACACTGTAACAAATTTGTAATACTAATTCACGAAGGCATTTCTGTTTCACACAGTATCATACTGCAGATACCTAAGGAAACACAATTTTAATAAGTAATTCTCAAATAACAGACTTAAAGCACGCATTTGGAATTCACATAAGTAGTCCATTAATTTCCTGAATTATGCAACTCACGTACGTTTCCAGCAATAAGTAGTACCTTCCTGAAGAGGATCTACGCAACCCAGCAGGCATTACGCAGGTAAAATTCCACTTAAATATCCTAGGAGTTCTATCCACCTAAGATTTTTTTAATATTTAGTGCTATTTTCTTCCCAAGGAATGAACTGTTCCATTAAATGTCACAATACCAACTGTATTATAGGCTGTATCACCATGTGAGATGGTTCTCTGCGATGCATACATTCAGACTGGCACTTACTCAGTTTGTATTTCTGGATCTTGATCACATGAATGACACATGGCACTGAACTGAGACACAAAGAAGTCATAGCGTCTGTGATACGAAGGGGTGTCTTCCTCAATGTTGGCAAATTTGACAAACTGGAAAAGAGGCATGTTAGAAAAGCTTTTGAAACCAATTTCATGAAAGAGAATAATGAATCTTAAGCTTCACTATGGAAGTTACATAAAACATTGCATAAAAAAATAACAATCCAGACTTAAAAATATTTAAATATTTTTAACTCCAGAGAGGAAAAAGTTAAATCGGAGTGTTCTACTTTTAGAGTCTTTCCATTAGAATGGCATTTAGATTATTATGAAATGAGGTAACTCCGTAAAATACAACATAATACGCAATATGGACATAGCTAGTACTTAAATACTAGAAGTTATCAGTTCTTTTAAATACTACTTCACAGTACTAAGGATGGGCTGCAAAAAGATTCATTTATTTATGCATAAAATCTAAAAGTGTTTTGCCATACGCACTCAGTTTAAGGCTATATCCAAGTAATCAAACAGTATACTATCACTGACAGGTTAACTAATAACTTTTTAGCATATCAAAATTTAAGTGAAATGAACTTCAGGTTGTTCTGCTAATTCTGTCTATCTTTGCAAAACAGAAGAAAGGAGTAAGGGTATTACAGACTAGCCAACCTGATTTCAGTTCACAGAAAGGCACCCTCCCCCCGACCCCATCACAATTTGAAAGCATCTAAAAAATAACAAAGGTGTAAGTAACAGTCAACATGGATTTGTAAAGAACAAATCACATCAAACCAGTCTAATTTAGTCCTATGACAAAGAAATAGATTTTGTGAATCCAGAAGAAGAAGCATCTGTCATGTCTTGACTTTAGTGATGCTGTTGACAAAAAATTTACACAAAATTCTCAAAGGGAAGCTAGCAAAACATTGTCTAGAGAACCCTCCCCATTAGACAGATGTAAAAGGATTTGAAAAAAAAATGCAAATAAGTACTTGTAAATTGTCAATCTGTAATAAGGCACTGAGTAAATCTCTGAAGAGGCCTGTCTGGAGTATCTGAGCTTCTCTAGAGACTTAGACCACTGAGTGGGCTCATCAGACTTGCAAAGAAAACTAAGTTGGCCAAAGCTGCAAGCCGACATGATGTCAGGATCTTGACAAAATGGAAACACAGCTTGAAAACGTGAGGATGCAAATTAGAAGTGACAAATAAAAAATACCATTTTAAGGCAGCTGTATGAATATTGAGTAGATATAGTTGAATGCGGAAAAATGGACGGTTATAAAACTGCACACTCCACAAAAGCCAGTGCTGTTATACTGGCATGAAAAAGCAAACGATATACTGTGATATTTAATAAGGTCATTATCAGTAACACCCATGAAATCTTTGACATCTAATTGGCACTAATAAAGTGTTAGACGAAGCATTGCGTCCGGTTTTAGCATCACGGTGGAAGATGCTGTTTAACTGGCACTACCCCTTCAATCACCCATAGGATGAACAAAGCTCTAGATAAATATCTGTCAAATAAGACTGAGACATTAAACTATCTAGTTGAGAGCTAAATGAAATTAGTCTTATAATATACAGAAGACAGCTATAAAAAGAAATGATAATAAACAGTCTTTGTTGAAGGGTAAAACGAAAAGCACTAATGAGCTTACATTGCAGCAAACACTACTTAAGTTTAATATTAAAAACCCACATCACATACATTCTACTTTGTATTACCTTCTTTTCTGTTTCATCAATAACACTCGTCCCTTGCAAATTCACTCAGTTCACCTACAGAAAGCTACAGATGCAGCTGAAGTTGGTACAGTTTCTAAAACTATGTTGTCACTTGTTACTGAAAACACGTTTAAAAAAAAAAAAAGTAAACTATCAACAAGGCCATTTCACATGTCCTTCTGTACAGACTATTCTCAATTGTCAGAGGATAAGAAAGTGATGTGCAGTCAAAAAAACAATTCTGTGGAGCTTATTGTCACAGTTTCGAAGACAGTCCATCAACAGCAACCGTGCTGCTGTCTTCTCAATGAGTTATAAAAGAGCAATTCCAAGTGAACCCAAGAATACGCTTCAAATGCCTTATATCTCACTGGCTTGCTTCAAGAAATTGTTAACTACAAAACAGAAGCAATTTTTCAAAGGTATTTTTAATACAGGAACCTAATCAGCCCTTACAATTTAATATGCCATAAAGTTCAGGAAGAAAAGAGAACAATATGCTCTTAATATTCTCTAAGCATTCAAGCATTTTTCACACCTACAATCAATTGATTCATCCAGCAAACTTCTGTGAAAGCTTTGAACAGAATGGAAGCACAAAGTTTGCAGAACACAAAATGCTACAGGAGTGCCTTGAGAATATTTACTCATCAAGCATTCAGTATCAGGAGTAACAATCTAAAATATAGACAACAAGAAGACTTACTTGAGAGACAGGATCTTCCACCATGAAAACTTAACATACTTTGAATAGCTGTTTCTTTAGAAGATTTATCATCCTTTTTTTTTTTCCCCCCCCAAATACACGAAGAATTTAGGTCAAGAGAGCGTCAGTGCCTCTCTCTGGACATTTCTCCTGTACCACATGATGCAGTTTTGCAGCAGGGAACCAGGTATTCAGAAGCTGTGCTGCTCAAAGTAACACCCATAGTAAAATATCCAGAATGGGTAACTATTTTTGATTCCCTTGCATACGTATCATAGCCGTTTCAGCCACTGAATATAAAGTGTTTCTAAAGTATATTCCAGAATTAGCATTCAGATGATTGGATATTTAGTCTCTAGGAGACCTAACTGCACTAACATTATTTTGATTTGCACTGCCATTCAGTAAAGTATACAAGCCTATTTAGTACATAAGTTTTAAGTTTTTACAGTACACATTAGTCTATGCTTTCTACCGGCTTAGCACTTGTGCTCTCTGTTAAGATGTTATTGGATAAAGAATATTTTACTCCTAAATAGCCGAGGCATTTTCAAGCATTCTTCTAATACAGAAATTATTCAGTGTAAATAAGGATAAAACTCTTGTTTCCCAGGCAGAAGCATGGTCTTTTATACATACAATTTTTACAGGCGTAAGTATGCCACTTCATAATAGTAAATGCCTGCAACCACTCACTGGTAACATATGGAAGTTATACCAGTACATGCATCTTCTGTATTCACATATGTGCACAGTAAAAAAAGGTACTTACATTGGTTAATCTTATTTCCATGAATCTTTAGACCAATAAGATTCCATCAGTATAAAACTACATAAAATCAATCATTAATTAAAGCAGGAACATATTAGCTATTCAGAGGATGTCTGTTCTGGACTGAGACAAGAAAACCGGATCACATTCCCCAGAAGAGTGGTATTATTCAAGTCCTACATGTAAACCATAATTTCTCAAATTAAATTCCTAAGGACAATTTCTTACTTATTTACACTGTCTTATGACCTTTAGGTAGCCAACACTTCCTAAGCAGAAAAAACAGATTAAGGAGCAGGGCTTTTGATGTGTTCTGGATTTCCTTTAAAGGCAGTCATTTTTTTGTAACAATTCAAGAACAGGAAAAAAAAAATCCAGCATGTATCGTTACTTAACAAGTTATTTAAAATATCTATCTGTAGAAAGTTTAGGCTGAATCCAAGCTGTATAATTTTTGATATTTGAGCTCCCTAGCTCTGTCTTTGAGAGCCCACAATTCTCTCCTTGTGTTTCAGGCCGGGGGAGGATAGGGCAGTGAACAGTGCTTGACAGTTGCTGTCTTTCAGAGACAAAGTCACTGTATTTCATTACTAGGAAACTCTATCACATAGGAAGACATGATACCTTATGAACACAAGACTTCTATAACCTACATAGTGTGACATTAACAAGAGATGTGTTATGTACACACCTGCTTCACCAAAGAAATGCTAAAAGGACAAACACTTCAACGTTTTCAACAAATATCAAAAGAGAAAAAAAAAGTTTCAAGCATTGGCTTCATGCATTAACTTCACAAACGTAATATTAAACTGATCAAAATAAATAATCACTAAGCTCTCAGCAACAGAAATACGTGATTTAGTTTAGCTGATACTTAAGGTTGCCTGGTATTTTTCATTTTGAGCTTATATCAGAATGGGACAGATAGCTTCACATTCTATTTTACTTCAAGACACCTGGATGGAAATTCTCCCAAGCGTCACACGTACAGCTGTTCGTCAAAGTCAGTAAAACTATGCTGGTTTATAGGGCCGCATTCACGCAGGTATGATGCTGCAAGACAGGAGAGCATGAGCACGGAGGGGAAAAAGCAATACTCAGCTGGTGCATCACACCAGAAGGACTGCTTGAAGTGATGTATCTAGCAACACTCAAATTCTGGTAGAGAGAATAAAATTCTGAAGAGAATTTAATAATCTACAGAAAGAGAAAGCATGCTTTGCCTAATTCTGTCTCTCCGTACCTTAAATCCTATAAAAGAGAGAGATGAAGGATTCTAGAAACAACGCACTTCATTGCACACCAAATCATTACCAGCACATCAGTACATGGAATGAAAGAAGGATCTTGTAACGAAAGTAATGTGCCATCACATACTTGCTTATATGCAGCATGCTGATCTGGAAGAAAGACAAACGAGCACTCTACTTGGCACATTAATTCTGACGTTCCTTAAGTTCAGTCTTGACTTTGTACACTTTTTCAATACGTATGCGTACTTCAGCTTAGCCTGTAACAACTGCTTTCGTAAATCAACACTAACAAATACAAAAATCTTGTTTTATCAGGTACTGACTGGTGAGTTTTCCCATTTGGGATACTGTTTATCTTACCTTAAAAAATAAATAAGATGCTGACTAACGAACAGTCACCTCCTCAATCACAGGAGGCCCAACAACATCACTAATGGTATCACTATTTCACTGCTACTAAGAAGAAACTATCCTACCAAATGAAGCATTCTACCAGCTGAGGAGAATATTTGCGGTAATAATTTAAAATGGGATAATACTGGATATATTAATTATTTTTCAGATGGAAGATATTCTTTTACTATCAAAATATACAGAAGAACCCACCTAGTCAACATTTCAGAATGCCTTAAAATGATTT